CGAACCAGGCAACCCCTCCAAATGTGGACGTGCCAACCCTCCCCACTGTGGACCTTAAGTTAAGATGCCTAAACTTAACCCAAGTCCTGTGAACACTTGTTTGCACCTCAGGTATGCTAAGTTATTATCATTGATCCCACTTGAGTGTTAGTTGGTTTAATAAAAGATATCACATCTACCCAGAGAACTTTTTCTACCACTTGATGTTTAACATCTCTCTGAAATGACAGGCTTGGTGAAGTTACTTGTCTTGTGCTGCTCTCCTTTTTGACAGCCTTGCAGAAATTGCAGTTTACATTGTGTCCAATGGACTGAGGACACTTTCACAGGGGTGTACCGCTTATCTATGGCAGAAAGGAAAGTAAACTTTATTATATATGGTTGGTGCATTAGCCATTCAGCAATTAAAGGTTCTTTTATGGCAGATATGCCTTCATGTGGGTGGGCCATAACTTGGTTAAAACTATTTTTAGCTTTATTCTGGGGACTTAGCCTATGAGACATGTCTTCTGAGTTTTTGTTGTTACTGCTAATAAATATTCAGTGTCCTAAATTTCTGAGGCATTTTCTGGAGCAGAGGAAATCATAACGTTCTGGAGACTTGATGGAGTAATAGTGTATTGGCATGCATAAGGGAAAAATGCAGGCACCATTAAATTCAATCAAGCAGATTCTGTAGAAAGCCCAGCAAATGTCATGGAAAGTCACTTTAGCACTGCAAAAACTGCAGTTTTCCTGCTACCAGGATTTTCCACCGTTCTGGCTTTATTCAAGAAGGAATGTTACTAATCAGTCTTGAGCTTGTGTGTCAGATGATAGCACGAAATACTGTAATGGAATTTCTGTGTGCGCTCACATACACATTTGAAAGGCCGTATTTTACTCTCTTGCAATGCCTGCCAGATTTAGTTTATCTTCCATTCTTCTCTCAATCTTGTTTGTTTTTGCTTTCAGAAAATCCCTATTTCAATGAATATTGGAATAGGCTTCGGTGTGTTTGCGATGATCCAGCAAGTTTTGCAAAGTGATTTTCCTTTTGATATAGTTCTATATGGAATTGGTATATTAGTTCAGACCAGACTTGGATAAGGAGAATAGCTTATGATTCTTTCCTGTTTTCTTTTCAGATTCTTACTTCCTCACACTTTTTGGCTCTGAGCACACTAGAGCACAGAATGACTTTCCTAATGGTTTTCTGTATCTTGGCCTAACACACGGGTGGCCAACTTGCTGCACACATGCCACAAGTTGAACAGGCAGGCTCTGTGTGTGGCAACAGCAGATCAGGGAGGGAAGAAGGAACACAGTGATAGATAGCTCAGGGAATGGAAAGGAGAACAACAGATCAGGCAAGAAAAGGGGATTGGAGTGGCACTTGAGGAGGGTATGATGCTTAACTTGTGGCACATCTGTTGAAAAAGGCTGGCCCCCTCTGGCCTTCTGCCTGACTGTTTGGGAGCCACCACACCAAAGGAAACCATGTCTGTCCTAGGAAAATGAGCATCTGCCGTATAGACAGGTATTGAGCATTTTTATCACTGTGCTTTGAAAACTGACCACCATTAGGGAAGTTTAAACAATGTTAACAAGAGGGAGAAAAAGGTAAAGATGTCTCATTTACAAGCCATTCAGGCAGGGCTCCACTGTTTCTCAGCACAGGATGAAGGTGATGTGGTCACTACTATACTCTGGCATCTTTACCCCCAGGTAGCTCCTGGTACCCATTGGATAGGTTGTGTGGGCATCAGGGCTGGGGAGGAAGTGGAAACAGTGAATGGAAATCCATTGCCTTCAACTGGGATCAAGCCCAGGTCCTTCCAGTCTGTAGCCAGTTACCCTACCATTTAAGTTATGCCACTCCCCAAGAGGGAGAGAATTTTGTTTAAAAACCATAACCAGTATGTAAAGTGCATCTTTAACCAGCCTCCTGCCTGACTGAAGACTACCATGACTCTATCTCAGTATGATTTAGCCAGAATTGATGACTGTTTTTGAGTACTGCTGCAGATAGGTTGGTTTCTTCCTCATATGTACCAGACCTTTCAGTGACTTCTGATTAATTTGAAACTGTCAGTTTGAGTCCCCAGCTGAGATTAGGGCCCCATAGTATTAAGATCTGTCTGAATGCATAGTGAGAGACGGTCTCTAGCTCATAGTTGACAGTCTACCTAGATCAGACAGGCAAGAGGATAAAAGGAGAAACAGAGTTCACTGAGAGGTGAAGCAACTTGCCTGTAGTCACACAGCAGATCAATGTGGAACTGGTAACTCTTTGTATGTCCAGCCTCTCTTGGTTAAAATTTAAGATAAAGCTGAAGTAAACAGACTGAAACCTTTTTTCACTTATTGACCCTTAAAAAATTTTGAATGGAGGTGCAGACCCCTTTCAGTTGTAAATGTGGGTAGTCACATACTTTTGATTGATCATAGTCATCTTTTGTGGACCCCTTAGACAGTCTGAGGGCCCCCAGGGGTCCATGGACCACAGGTCGAACACTAGTGAACTAAAGCATTGCAGGAGTAGACCTGACTGGGCTGAAGATGTCTGTTGCTAATTTTTCAGGTAATTTCAAGCTGATTTGGCCTTGAAATTAGTAAGCAATGATCATGTGCTAATGCCTAAACTAAATAAGCTTCCATACACCACCTTGTTGAGGCAGTAACTTCCCTTTCTTTAGCCATTAGACAATAGCATTCCCTCATACTTTCTTTACAGATGCTCTCCAGAATCAGATCAGGGAGGAAGATGCCAGCTCTAAGGCTGCCTGTGAAATTGAAAGTGACTTTCCTCCACCTGTTTCCAAAAAGTATAACTTGCAGTCAGTCATCTTCCAGGTCGTCATTCTGGTGTGTGCAGTTGACTTTTTTTTTAATACCCCAAAGTAATAAAAAAAATTGAGGATGCAAGTTGCTATTTAGTTGTAGAATTTCTAAACCTGATTTCTAATTCTCCTTCCGCTTTTCAGATGGGGAAGAAGGAGGTCTCACTGGAATCTCTGTGTTACCTGCTTCATGGAAATGAACTTTAATTGCAGTGTTTTATCCTGTAATCCAAAATAGATTTCTTTGAAAATGAATAAGGGCATGCAATTTGTGCTTTGTGTGAACCAGATGTGGCTGCCCACTTGCTGTAATGGCAGAGAAGGAGCAAAGTTAAATCTCCAGTAGGCTTTTGTGGTTTATGAAGCAATGTCTGCTTATCTTGCCAGGAAGATTTAAAGCCAAATATAGCTGTTGCTCGCCTTGCTGCTCCAAACTGAAACAGATTATAGCCTTTTAAGAAGGGCTTAGGGTATCTGGCCACTTGCACTAGGGAGTCAAAAGCAGCTGAATGTGATGCAAGCCATGTCACTCTCTCATGAGCTGTGGAAATACTATGCCTTAACCATGCTAGTGTGATGTTAGGCTGGGGTAGACTTTTGACCAGGACTTAGTTTAACCTTTTGGGGCGGGCACCTATTGTGTTTTTTGCTTGCCTGCACAACACTATGCAGCATTAACCGTAGTAATAATAATAATAATACAGCACAGGGGTTTTTTTTCTTTCAACCTTTGGGTAAATGCACAAGCAAATTTATTTCCTAGGGCTGCATGGTACTGCTATGCACAGGCCCCCAAAGAGCAGTGTTGACTGAGCTGCTGTGAGAGGCATTGTGCTTCAGAGACAGATTCCTCTCCTACACTTACTTTCTTTTGGGAGGATGTAGGTGGTAGAAATAAATTACTCCAGCCCAGTGAAAGGATATAACTTATTCCTTATCCACCCCCGCTTTGGCCAGTAGGAGGGATACTGTCTTATGCTTGCTTCTTTGCTTGCAATGCATGGGAGTGGTATTTCTCAAGAGATTGAGACTTGGGATCTGTGTTGGTCAGCCTCAGCTGAATAATGGTCTGTGTGGGAGTTACTTCCTCTTCCTCTCCTGCTTGTGATTCTAGTCTTTGCATCCAGTCTGTGCAATTATCTTTTGTTTGCCAAAGGTGTCCCCCACCATCTTCACATTAAAAGCACTGATTTTAATTTTGTTTTCTCTCTAGTGACACACACAGGCTGTTTGGGGGTGGGTTGGGGGGGGGGTGCGGCCCTGTTCAACAGCTCTGACTAGCCACAGATCATTGTAGTCATTTTAGAGGTGACAGACTCAGATTTCTAGTCCCAGAAGCTAAGTGAATGCACGCACCTATTGTTGCTTCTTCATTTTACAGGTTGTTCTGAGAATGAAGTTCACATTAGCTAGCTTCGTTGCTTTTACCAACAAACATCTGTTCCACCAGATGGAATTTCATTAAAAGAACCTAGAAAAAAATCTGGCAGGGAATACAATGAGACTTCCTTTCCAGAGGTGCCTGCAAGAGGGAAGAAGTGTGGGCTTGATATGCAGTCCACAGGGATGGAATTCAGTCCAAGGACTGGTGTAGTGGAAAGTCCCAGCTGTTTTACTGTGCTTATCAGAAGTTGTAGAGATAAATAGGTTAAAATTTAAAATGAGCAGTTAAAAAGGGAATTCTAGTTTCCTTAATCAATCGGAGCAGTCAAAACTGCATGGAAAGTATTGTAAATTACAGTTGTGGAAGCCATTTGTCAATGAACAACCAAATAGGACTCCCTGTTTCTTACAGATTTTTCTTTTTCAAGTGTTTGTGGTTGTGCGTGGGTGGGGGTCACAGGAAAGAGAGGACATAACTACAGGAAGCAAGCGGAGGAGCATGCTAGCCAAATTTCCAGGTTATTTTCAGTGGTGTCTGGTCTGTCAATTTGATTGCATCAGCCTTTGTCAACAATAACATTCAGGGTATTTAATGCTGAAGTTTACCTTACCTACCTGCTATGATAACTATCATTACCTTCTGAGTTTTGCGAGTCTGCTTATGCATACTGAGATACAAATGCCTCTGTTGCAGGAGTGCCCTTGCAGCTAAGGCATCTCTTTCCTATGGAAGGATTTGCCATGTTAATAGATTCTACTTTTGACCCCTCTTGTTTTTCTTTATTTCATTTTTAGGAACCTGTGTAAAATGCAACAAAGGCGTGTATGGAGCCAACCAAGCCTGCCAAGCCATGGGGAATCTCTACCATGATGGTTGCTTCACTTGTGGAGCGTGCAGTAAGTGTGTCTTTCTGTTGTGAGGGAGATCCTTAGCTGAATAATGGTCTGTGTGGGAGTTACTTTCTCTTACTTCCTCTGCTGCACATAGTTTTTCAAATATTCTCTGGTGAGGGATAGATGTAGTTGTTTGTTTACCTGGTAGGATGCACATTCCTGAAGTGTTGCAATTTTACTGTTTCATTCAGATGAAATATTTTGGGTTGTATCTGCCTTCTACTATAGGGCACAGTGGGCAGAAATAAGCCATTGGGATATTTGTAAGTGCCTATTATCTCTAGGTGCAGTTGTTTTCTATTACTTATTATGGCTTTTTTTACAATCATAGTAGGTCAGTCAAGTGCCATATATATTAGGCGTGATACAGGAATTACAGTGAATTTCCAGAGCCTGGGGTATGCAGAACAGGCAAGATATGGTCCTTTCTAACTTTAAAAACGTTAAATCTTTAAGAAATACTCCCTGGCATAAAGATTTCACAATCCAAGGTCCTGATTTGTGAAGTCAGCATGTAAGGGACTTGTCAGATCTCCTTGAATTAAGTTATTTGTAACCACAGGACATGTAAAATGAAATACACCTTTTGGAGATATGAACTAATTTGCCTTCTGCCTTCACTTTGCTCATCTGGCAAGTTACTGTGTCCCTGGCCTGACTATTATGTTTGTTTCAGTTGTGTTTACAATGTGTCTTGTGATGTGTCAGATGTTAGGATACAGGCTGTACTCATAGAATCATAAAACCATAGAAAAGTAGGGCTGGAAGGGACCTCAGAAAGTCATCTAGTCCAGCCCTCTGCTCAAAGCAAGATCATCCCTATCTTAACCATCCTAGAAAAGTCTGAGTCTAACCTGTTCTTAAAAACTTCACAAACAACTCTCACATACAGCTACCAGGCCAATGTCTGAAATAGCAAATGTCCTCAGTAAAGGTGTAAAGCAACAGGATGAAGGCACTGTCACTGTCCTGCGACAACAAAGACAGGAAATAGTTATTAAGTATACCTGTGAGATCCAGAGAAGAGGACCATATCCCCTGCTACAGAGGCAAAAACCTCCATAACCCTTGCAATCTACTATAGGATAAAATTCCTTCCTGGTACCAAACATTGTCTGGTATCAGGAAGGAATACCAGTCTCAGTCTCATTCTGACCCTGAGTGGAGGAGCCAAGATCCTCTAGCCAGGAACATCTGGGCTTCTTAGTCCCAGCAGCAACACCAGCACACCCCAGTCAAAATCCCCAGCCTTGATGCTAACACCCAATGGTTCTGAGAAAGGTGGGGAACTCCCCCTCCTCCAATCATCCATAACAACAGGGAGGGGGGAATCCTTCCTAACCTCATGTGGCAACTAGCAAAACTCAGAAGAATGGGGGGAAAAGCAAATATTCTCCAATCTGCTCTGCAACCTGAGCCCCTTATATCTTATGGCAGCCCTTCAGATATTTGAAAACTTCTGTCATGTCCCTGCAAATTAAACATTTTTTTACAAGGTGAACTTGCTTAATTATCTAGTCTCTGTTCATGTTGCTTACTTTCCAAGCCCTTTGCCATTTTTGTTGCCTGCCCCCTCTAACTTTTCCACATTCCTTTTAAAATGCAAAGCCCAGAAGTGCACACATTACTCTAGATGAGGCCTAACCAGCACTGAGTAGAGAGATGCTGTCATCTCCCATGTCTTCCATCTAGTTCTGTTGATTCAGCCCAAAAATCTCATTTGGCTTTTTTTGCAGCTGCATCACAATGCAGAGTAAGGCTAAGTCTGTGATCCACCAAAACCCCAAGATCCTTCTCTACAGTGCTGCCACCCAACACCTATTCTGTATTTTTGTTTTTTGCTTCTCAGGTGCCCTCTATAATGTTATCCCTATAGATATTGCACCCTGGAAAATAATGGGTATTGAAGTGACTGTTCATTGCCATTGGTTAACAGATGACACAAAAAAAAACCTGTGTTTATAAACTTTGTCCTCTATGCTCTACCCACTGTCCTCACCTTGTTTGCCCTTTTGATCTCCCACATCCTTCCTTTTCTAGCTGTTTCCATCATGTGCGCCAAGCATCTTTGCTGTCCTTCCTCAGAACCTTCTTCTCTTCCCTCACTGTCTATTTCAAAGTATAGGAGCGGAAGCCCGTATGCATTTGACCTTAGAGTTCACCTTCATTCTCTGCATATGCTGACTCCTCTTGTTTTGTTTTTAATCCTCTCCTACCCTTTGGCTGTCCCCTTGCTTTGTCAAGGTCAGTGATGCTCAACAAGAATGCCATGGCATCTTCAGGTGCCTTGAGATCCTTGGGTGGCACCCCAAAGTATCCTTGAAATTTTAGCGCTGTTAGGTGTGCAAACATGATTCACAAGATTAAACCCAGATAATTCAAATAGGATTCCAGACTGTTAAACACATTCTGACCTGCTTGATTTTTCTGAGTTCTTTATAAGAGAGAAATTGCTATATTATTTTTCTGTAGTCAAAAAAATTGAGTGAAAACTAAAAGCTGGCATTTAACAAGGGGTGCCTTGAGTCTAAAGAGGCTGAGAAGCGTTGGTCAAGCCACATATTACATGTTTGCCTGCTTGAGACTGAGCTCTGTGGATAAGGGTTAAGGATAGGGACTATGATTTTTGTTTGTTCTAATAACCTCCGTAAAATGCTATGCCAAGTAAAGATATAGCATAAACATTTTACTACTGCTAACAGCAATAACAACTTTACCCCTCTGTGGGATTTTCTTTGGAGGCTCTTCAAGCATTCTACAAATGCAGACAAACTAATTTCACTGTAATTTATATGTGTTCCATTTCACCAATGAAGGAGGCACAGAGAAATTGTGTGTGCGCGCATGTGCACATGTGTGTCCTCTGCCCTCTATACTCTATAGCAGACACATATGAGTGCCATCGCAGCATATAGCTCAGTGTGGGCTGCAAAACCTGCCTTAAGCGAGGAGGGGTGGTTAGCCTGTGTTCAGCTGCATGTAGCAGCAGTTAGACCACTATGAGTGCCTGAGCTAAGTTAAAGCGACGTCTGGCTTGGCTCTACTATTCTGCAGTAATATTCTCCAAGTCACTTCCTGTGGTCACACAGCTCTGGCTGGGGCTGGACCCCAAGTGTCTTGATTCCAAATATCTTGCTCTGTCCACTGGACTGGTGCTCCTGCCTCAGCTTTCGCATCCGTAGAGCTACTAGTGTATATTTAGAAATGTAGCTCCTTAGTGGCAGCAGTAAAAAAAATCTGTTATGTTTGTATTGGTGAACTTTCCTTTTCTAAAGTAAGGAATTTTTTCTCTGTTGTATTTAGAATGGAAAGCAGGGAATGCATCTTCTCTTTAGCTCTAATGCATGAGTACATTTAGAAAGCTGCAGAAATGGCATTTTAGTAATACCATATTTACTCAAATACAAGGCGAGGTTCCCCTCCCCCCATCAGCATGGGGGGGGAAAAAGCCCCTTATCTTGCATTCACATACAGGAAACCTCATTAAATACATTGTCTATCAGTAAACTGCTGCTAAAAGCAGCATTTGCACAGTAATGGAAACCAATTAGGAAGCTGATTAAATGTAACCAACACTGAACATAATTATAAAACACATGGCCCATATTGGGCAGACATACTGATGGGTGCCGTGTGTGTGCGCACGTGCACACGTGTGTGTATGTAGCCCTTAAAAGAAAAGTTAGGGGCAGTGGCAGTTGTTCCCCAAGTAGGGAACTTGCACCAGAGGTGCTGTAACAGCAGGCCAGCACTCAAAACAGATTGGAGCAAGTTCCAAAACCCTTTCCTGGTGCCAGAAATAGTGATGGGAACCTACCAAGAGACTAGGTTAGTGCAGTTCATCAGAATGAGATACAGTAATACCTGTTATGCGCAGTCCCCCTCAGCATCTACTTTTTTTCAAGTCATAGTGAGCAACTATCTTGAATACATTACAGTTTCCTCTTAACTTCCACAGCTGAGCCACACTTTTCCATTTCCAATTATTCCTGTTTCTTCCCTAGCCTCAAATGGCTGATGCACATCACTAGATGGGGCCCCAAACAGTTCACCCAGAATCCCTATGTTAACCCCTCTCTCAGTCTGTTGCATATGACTTCTGCATGAGGTGGAGCCAGACCAGGTTGCTCTGTGCCTCATCTGTATATAATGTTTTTGAGGATCCCAGGACTCATGTTAAGAACACCTGGTCCTAGTTATGAATAAAGGACTAATTAGCACATGGATCCTTTGTGGGGAAGAACCTGGAGTTAACCCATACTGAACAGTGCTGAGCTATGGGTTGCTGAAACGCTGTTGACTCTGCTGCAGTCTAGCTCAATGAACAATATGGAAAATCATGAGCCTTTTGGCTTTGGACTAATATCATGCACAGTTTGTGCTTTATATAAGTAGTAGGACTGTGCGAAGCTTCGGTCCCAGATTTGATTCGGTGGAGGTTCGGCCTGATTCAGTGGCCAAATCTCTGAATCCAAATCGAATCGGAGGACCCTTTAATATCTCCGAATCGAATTGGAACCCTCTGAATTGATTTGGAGAGATTTGGAAAAATTCAGTGATTCAGACATAGTGTCCCTGATTCGGGCCGAATCCGAATCAAATAGGGCACGTTTTGCACAACCCTAATAAGTAGGTACAAAAATGCTGCTTAAAAGTGTGTTTATGGAATATCTGTGCTAAAACTTGCAGCAGTTTAAAAAAAAGTAAAATGTATCAATTCTAAATGAACTAAGTCTATGGGTACCCTAGTAATTTGCCTAGATGCAGATTATTACAGATATGTTTATTTCAAGATCAGTGTTTCCAAATTTGCCCCATACTTTCATGTGTTCTTAGGGAAAGCAGGGTCTAACAGTAAAAAGGGGAGCCCGGAAGAGGGGCTGCAGGGGAAAGAAGCTGGGGGACGCAGAAGACAAAGGGGCTGTCTGACTGCTATTTATTTTCCCTGGTGTAGCAGCGAGAGGAGGAATTCAAGGCAAACCTCCAATAATTAAATTCTATAC